GAAAAGCAGAAAGCTATCTGAGGACTTGTAGACCTTGAGAGCCCTGCAAGTCAGAGTGTGGTCCAACAGCATCGCCAACACCTGGAAGCCTATTACAAATGTATGCTCTGTACCCGCTACCACCAGAATCTGCATTGTAACAAGATCTCCAGGTGATCTGTACATGTGTTAAAGCCCAATAAGTCCTGCTTTAAAACTAAAGGAACCTCAGAGGTCATTTAGAATCTGGTGAAGCCACCCCATTTAATCAGGACACTAACATCCAACACTATGTAAATTGTCCAAGGACATGGTGGCAGATGCTGCCCGTTGACTAATTCTACAGCCTCCAACCCCTCCTCTTATGCTACTTTCCACTTCACAAGGTGAAAAAGCTAAATATTCTCCCAGTCTCCCTTGCAGTTAGGAGTGGCTACATTACAGTTCTGACCAGGGCCTCTGATCAGTGGGTTTCTTAAAAATCTACTTTCTTGGGAGGCTGAGGCAGAAGACTCACTTAAACCCGCGAGGTGGAGGTTGCAGTGAGCCGAGATCATGCCATTGCACTCCAGCCTGGGCAAAAAGGGTGAAACTTCATCTCAAAAAAAAAAAAAAAAAAAAAAAAAAAAAAAAAAAAAAAAAAAAAAAAAAAAAAAAAAAAAAAAAAAAAATCTTCTGCTTTCTCAGTAAAGAAGGGCATACATGGAGACATCAACCTTCCCTGTTTGTCCTGCCTTAAAGAAAACACAGAGTCTGGAGCTGGGGTGCATATCTGGTGGCAATAAAGCCACAAGTGTGAGGCTAAAACAGCTACACACTGAGGGTTGTAGAAGGGCAAGACACAGGGAACCTAGTCCTGAAGGATATTGTTCAGCTGAGGCTGAGTCACCGGCAATTGCCTACATTCAGCCTTCTTGTTATGGAATATACATAAATAAATCTCTCTTTATGGAAGACTCCGCTTGTCAAGTTTTCTGTTACTTGAAGCCAAATTCATCCCACATAATGTCACATAGCTAGCAAGTGGCTAAGCCAGCGTTAGGTCCAAGGGCCCTAGAGACTTTTCCTATGCCTCTTTCATTCATTAAGTCAGAGCAATCTTTCAAAAAAATTTCTATAAACATATGGAATCAAGAAGTGCTAATGTGAGAATGCATCTGTGCATGGGAAGAGAGGTGTTATATAAACTCGTGTAGTGCTGGAAATAGTATCTTGAGGGAAGATAACCAGGTTCAGTTTAGAAATTCTGCACGTGTGTGTTTGCCAAACTTTTAAAAGGGAGATGATGAAGAGAGGTGAGTGTGAAGAGCAGACAGATCTTCATTTCATCAAAGAATCTCCACGGGGCATTTGTGAACAATATGGAATTTGATATACAAAATTTAAATAAATGTTAGGTACAATTCCTAATGTGATACCACTAAACATCATGTCAATTCATCAATGTCTGCATTGTCTATTAATATAGATTGATTTACTGAGTTATTAAAAAAAATGGATGTTTGTCTAACCAAAAGTTGCTATTCCCAAATTTACTTAAAAAAAAAAAAAAGGTGGGGGAGGAGCTAGAATTCATTGACTCAAAGAAATCACACAAAAAATGAAAGAAGTAGCACACCCAGAAAATGAAAAAAAACAGCTTTCTTCCAAAAGTGGGGCAGCCTGCTGGAGGAAATGTGCCCTCTGACTAAGCCCAGAGGAGAGTCTGAACAGGTACAGCCATCAGGACCAGGATAGACTCACCTCCCTCCCCCTTACCATGAAGTTTTTGAAAAGCTGAGGAGATCTTGTCTAGGCTCCTGCCAAAATCATACTATCATTTTCAGGTGAATTAAATATGAGCTAGCAGACACTGAGCACTCACAGTAATTCTGTTTCTGTAAAGCTACATTCTACAAAGTAACTTTAATCTGTGCTGCTACCTTGTTGAGCTGGCCCCATTCCCCATTTTATAGATGAGGAAATCAGGAAACTTCCTCAAGATCACAAAGCAGCAAGTGGAAAGAAAAAAATCCCTAAGACCCTGTAGGATCTTACACTGCTTCTCTCTAAACTCACTGTGACACTCACCCTTATGTTGCCCTGGCCAGGCCTTGACATTCCCATCACCTTCCATGCCCATTTTTACCACTTATTTCTGGTCTCTGTTTAAAAGTTACTTGTTTAAGAAATCTCTGCCTCATGCCCTGCCCTAGACTTGGTGTCCTTTGATGAGCTCCCACTATGCTGTGTACCTCTTAGCACTTTCAACTGCCATTAACTAATCAATTGATAGACTGATTACACGAATTAAATGATTTGTTTATTCTGATGTTGGCACCAATAGGTGGCCTGGTGTTATGCTGTGTGTGGCAGGGTGGCAGGACGGAGTGGTGAGGGAGCATCTTTGACCACCCAACAACCTCCATCAGCTCATCCTCATCATCATCCACTCCAAATAAATAGTTAATGTGAGAGAAGACAAGTCATTTTACAATATAAGATCACCTTTAAGACAAGTCTCTTTGCTACTCCCTTTCTGTCTTAAAACCAGACTGAAGTCCCAAACCCCTTTCCTGTAGAAACTTTAAAATCATTTTCTAAAGTCTTTCACTCTGATTAGGATGAAGGTTCCATGAAGGCATGCACTATGTCTTGTTCACCCTTGAATCCCAGCACGCAACACAGTACTTAGCACATGGTAAGCAACCAAGTATTTGAGTGAATGAATGAATGACTTAGGACTTCCATGTTAGTATTCTTCCACCATGCCACTCTGCCTCCTCCAAGACTGAAGCCCACAGAAACTTCCACCTTTGGACACTCTCTACTTCAGATCACGATAAGCACAGCCTTGCTGGGGTCAGGGTCAGCCTCAGTACAAAACTCTCGGTCATGGTTTTAGCTCAGATATTTCATCTCACACTCAGTGCCCTTTCAGGAGGGCAGGGCTCTCCTCTTAAGCCATTCTCAGAAGATAAGGAAAGGACCCAGACCCAACAGAGTTAACACATGAAGAAAACCAGAACATTTGAGGGTCCAGATGTCCTTCTCTTTGTCCATGCTCTCAACGTGTGAAATACCAACACCTTTTGCAGTCCCTTTCTCAAAATCACCTGGAGAATGTTACTTTAAAGAAGCCAATTCCAGGATTCCACTCCAGACTTTCTGTATCTCTGGGGATGACCCCAGGAATTTGTTTTTAATGAACTCTCCACCAAAAAAAAAAACAACAACAAAAAAAAAACACCTTGTTTTTAACAAGGATTGGAGCTATTTTAACAAACATCTCTGACACTGATGCCTGCTACTCTGAAACGTCTTGACTCTCAAGTCATGGCTCAGTTTAAGATATCCAGAGGCTGACCATCCATTTAGCCCATGCTAGGCCCATGAGATAGAATAATTCCATGGAACTCAATAAGACTCCATCCAGCCTGACCTTTCTTTGCTTTTTCAAATTAGAGTATAAAAGTCACCACCAGTGGCGAATGGCCTGGATAGCTGCCCTGCAGCCTTCCCAATCTTACCCATATCACAGTCTGGAGATTTCCGACCCTGCCAGAGGGAGAGGAAAACTCAAGGCTTGGGACCTGGTTTCTGTCACCTAAAAAAAAAAACAAAGTTCAAAGTGCCAGACTGAACCTGGGTGGCACAGGAATGCAAGGGCTTTTCTTTGTTTATTTTGAGAAGGAGCAGGGACACTGTGGCATCCAAATCCCAAAACCAAGAAGGAATCACAAAGCCATTTCCCCGGTGTCTTGTTGCTCAAGAATCTCCCTCTCCCTTGTTGCTGGGTCCAGCCACAGCCTCCTGTTAACGCAGAATACTCACTAAAAGTGCCCATTGTCTGTCCAGGAGGGGCCAAGGGCCAGGTCACAACAAATCCAAAATGCTCAACAGTGGATAACGGACCCTTTCATTCTTTAAAATATGGGCACATTTAGGAAATATATAACAACCAGAATACCTCTCTCCACCATCATCAAAATGCATACAGTGCTCAGGACTGTTTATATAATTTCAAGGGTACGTGGACGGGTTCCCTGGAGCCCACCCATGGAACTTTGGCCATAAGGCCCAGATTAAGAATGATCATAAACATGTTGAAGAATTAAAAATCCCATTACTGGGTATATATCCAAAGGATTACAAATCGTTCTACTATAAGGACACGTGCACACGAATGTTCATTGCAGCACTGTTTACAATAGCAAAGACCTGGAACCAACCCAAATGCCCATCGACGATAGACTGGATAGGGAAAATGTGGCACATATACACCATGGAATATTATGCAGCCATCAAAAACGATGAGTTTGGGTCCTTTGTAGGGACATGGATGAACCTGGAAACCATCATTCTCAGCAAACTGACAGAAGAGCAGAAGATCAAACACCGCATGTTCTCACTCATAGGCGGGTGTTGAACAATGAGAACACATGGACACAGGGAGGGGAGCACTACACACTGGGGTCTGTTGGGGGGAAATAGGGGAGGGACGGTGGGGAGTGGGGAGCTGGGGAGAGATAGCAAGGGGAGAAATGCCAGATGTAGGTGATGGGGAGGAAGGCAGCAAATCACACTGCCACGTGTGTGCCTATGCAACAATTTTGCATGTTCTTCAAATGTACCCCAAAACCTAAAATGCAATAAAATAAATGGGAAAAAAAATCCTAAATGTCTAGAATTGTTTATCCACACCTGAGGAAATTCAAGGTGGAGGGGATGGGATGGATGAGGAAACAAGCTTGCATATATCCTTTTTACTTATGTCTTGATTGTTAATAGAAATTTGGCAGAAATATAGATATATGCAATATTTGTTTCTGGTGCTTTTATTAATCTGAAGCAATTTTGTTATTTTAGGGACATTAAAATTCATCATACAGAATTTAATAGACTCATAAAATAATCATGCTTGGTAAATTTAAAGGTATAATCTTGGAGACGATTAAATATTTACTAGTTGAATTTATTTTAAAACATTTTATATTTGTTGTAGGGTGTTGAAACTGCTAGGCTTTTTTTAAAATCTAGGATTAGTTTTTTGCTGTTTTATAAGAAGTAACCCCAAACTGCAAATTCTTTCCTTAAATAAAAAACTATGTTCTTTTAAAAAAAAATCTTTTGTCTATCTCACATTCACATGCCTAGAAGGACAGGTTCTGGACACTTGTTCTGTTCCTTCATACTCTTGACCCTGTCCTATCTCCTGTTTCTTCTGAGTCATTAGGGCAAGCTGCACCACAGGCATACAAGATGCTCCTATTCTCACAGTCCCTGATCAGCCATGTGCTGATCTCTGTACTGATTCTCAAAAGACTAGGACCACCAGCAAAAGACGCACTAGGTCTCTCTTCCTTTTCCTGTAAAAATGGTAGTGGCACCCTGAATGTTATAATCTTACATCTGTACCATTTTCCATTGATCCTAAGGCACGCCTTATGAGTCATCAAGAGCAACACCGTTCTTTAGACGACATGACACATTGCTTTAACTATAGTTCTCCACAGTCACCCAAGCCTCTGATTGCTTTGACGTTTCTTTCATCCATCCAAGATGTGCCAGCAGTTTCTGCTGTCATTTGGCTGGGCTTGTGATGGCCAATCCTTCTGTGAAACTCACTAACAGTTTCTTCTACTTAAGGGGTGGCTCTTACCCTCTTAGGCTCCAGAAAGCACTTCAGTTGTTACTTTGCAAAAATTATGCACTTTTGTGTTCATTCCTCCAACCATTCATATCTGCTTCACTAATATCAAATTTAAGTCCTGCTGCTCTGTTTCTATGCCTTTTTGCACACAAGGTAATTTTTCATTTTAATGCCAAATCATAGAGTAATTTTTTTGAGGATCTTTTAAACGGCAATTAAACTCATTACTTACAGTGTCAACAATACACCTAACTCAACTGACATGATGACAGTGTGAAATGCTATGACATTATTAACAACTGTATCTCCACAGAGCCTTATCATCAGTTGATCCCCAGAGATGGCAGGATAGGGAAGATGTGCATTCTAGAATCAACTAAACAGGGCTCTCACACTGTGACCATGTGCTCTTGTCTTACAGTTCTGGCAGACTCGTGGTTATAACTGAAATGAAGAGGAAAAGAATTCCAACTAAGAGCAGGATAATGATGAAATGAATAGTCCTTTCACTTCCTGCAATGTTCTGACTCCTTTTCATTACATGTCTTAATGTGAGGGACTCAGCTATTGTTCCTACCTACTCACCGACAGTATGTCATGTTACTTTACTACGATCTTAATGACAATATCCCACTACACTTCTTTTTCTTTCCTCAATAGCCTGGAAAGGGAAGCAAATGACCATCTCCTATTTCGTCTATCTATACTAATACCACAACTTTGAGTTTATGATAAGTTTCTTCCTCTCATTTTAATCATAATTCCCCATCACTTTATTGAGTAGTAGAGAGGGGAAGAGACTATTTGTAGATGATATAACTGGGACAAAAAGAGTTGGTAGGAAAACCAACACTAGCACTCAGCCTCCCAAACTTGTGTTTCTTGTTTTCTGATTTTAATACCTCTGTGGGAAAAGCCATTCCACAAACAGAAGAAACTGTTACTGAGATCCCTAAAAGAATCTCTCATCACAAGCTAGGCTTCTGGATGGGAAGAATGTGTTGTGGATTCCTAAAAGTTGAAGGCTGCTTATATACATTCAATTTAGTAAGTATGTGTGTGAAGATTGCACACAAAGCTTGCCAGGCAGGGTACTGTTGGGAATTCAGGGAGGAAAGTCATAGCCTCACCCTCCCCTGCCTCATAATCCAGTTGTTCTAAATTCGGGGATGGAGGAAGAGGCAGGGAGGGGGCACTTCATCTGTGAATCAGATTACATTCACAGGCCTCAGAAAGTTGTTCCATATCCCTCCCCCAAAACACACACACACACACACACACACACACACACACACACACACACACACGGACAAGATACTGCAAATCATTTCTTGGGATTGATACAGTTTCTGGACATTAGAGGAGTAGCTCACATCTGCACCCCATAACATCAAGCCACAAAACTCACACAGATGAGCTTTTTCTCATGGTTAGTCCCACCCAAGTACAAAGAGACCTTGCCAGTCAAATAGTTTCAGGAAGAAGCAATAGTCTCCCTTGGTGTTCGGGTTTTCTTGATTAACATCTGTCAGAGAAATTCCTTGATCCTCTCCCTCAGACCTGGTGTTTTGTGAGGCCTTCTTTCCTGGCAGGATTGATGGTGAATATTCTCCACAATGCACAGCCAGCCAGAGTACTATCTGAATAATCCATGGCCCTCCCTTAGGGGTCTGCCCACGATACCCCTTGCTCTCTGCATACCCAACCCTGTGCTCCACTTGTCTCATTACAGCCTCTGGGCAAGACCCACTGGGAGCCTCAGATTGCCTTCTGAGCCCTTGGAAAGGAGTGCTCCTTTTAAAGAGGTCAGACGACCCCACTCTGCCAGAAAACAATCTCTGGCCAGGGCTATGGCTGCAAGGAGTTTCTGGCACTTGTGAGTTGGCAAGTTGTCAGGGAGTTTCCAGTCTTTTACTACTCTCAAAAAGCAACCCGATTTTTCATTTGAAATCAGGATGTTAAAGTGTCACTGAATCGCTAGGGACTGACATTTGGGATCAGAGCCTTGTCTTGGTGGAGTCAGAGTCTCCGTATCACTTAAGGACACAGAAATCCTGGCTTCTTTCCCACATTAACTTGTGAGTATGAATATGGAGCTTTTTTAAAAAATCAGATTCTCCATATCCTCTCTTAGAAAAGGGGACAGAGTTCAAGTTCTAGTGTCACAAAGGGCCTGTTGAAACTCTGGCATTGCAGCCACTTTCTTGTGTTTGTTATTACTCTTCTCTGGATGTCAGTGTTTCAAGGCCCTGCAGGGGAAGCTCAGATGTGGCCCATTTAAATTATTACTACTATGAATTATAACATATAGTGCTTTTTCGTTAAAAAGGCTTTCCTCTTTATTATTATTTTAACCTAATCTTCATCTGACCTCCCCAATAATTTCATAGTGTATCAGCTGGGGTCCCAGCAGGGATCAGATGGTACATTGAGAGTTTAATTGAAAACTGTGTAAAGAAAGGACTATTTACAGAGATGGATCAGAGTCCAATCAGGAAAACAAAAACTATGCCAATTATTTTTATAAAGTGAATTAAATATAAAGAAAGGATTGGAGCTGTTTATATGAACTATCTGAAGTAGTCAAATTCAAAGAGACAGAAAGGAGAATGGTGGTCATCAGGGGCTAGGGGATGGGAAGTGGGGAGACATTTCAAGGGGAGAGAGTTTCAGTTTTGTAAGATGAAAAAGTTCTGGAGATTAGATGCACAACAATGTGAAGCTACTTAATACCACTGAACTGTGCACTTAAAAAGGTTAAGATGGTAAATTTTATGTGTTTTTCACAATGCAAAAAAAAAAGAAAGGGGTTAGAGATCTGAATATGTGAAAGAAACACATAAAAGTAACACAGAAAAGCAACCGTGAAGACCAGGCTAGGACCACTCAGGCCAGGGAACAAAGGGAAGAGTTTGGTGGTATCACCCAGAAGCTCAGAGCAGCATTGCAGATCTGAGCCTGAGGCCTCTGAAGAAGGGCTGCCTGTTTGTTACAGGTGCTTGAGAACAAGCACAAGGACCACCCTGAGAGTGCCAGAAAAACATGGGAGGCTGCATCCCACTGCTGCTGAGGAAAGGACGGCTGCTGAGGAGACTCTAAGAGGAATCGCAAGCAAAGAAAGGAACAGGTCCCTGCTCCTCCCTCCAGTCTGGCAGGCTCCCTGCAGCACCAAAAGCGATGTCTTTTGAAGCATCACAGCCCAGTACCAAAAACAGGGCATAAAAATGATACTGAGAAGCTGAGCAATATCAGCTTAGTGATGGGCAGGGTAAAGGGAATGGTAAAACAACCAGCAACAAGGAAAAGCAGGAAGTAATTATTACCCCTAAGTCTAAGGGGCGAGAAGAAGGGATGATGTTACAGGAACCTTGTCAGGGCCATTAAGGGCATGGCTGTGGGAGAGGGGCTGCCCAACAGGATCTGTAGCCATCTGCCTAAACCACAGCCAAGCAGGGAGGAAAGGGACAGAGGTAGGGGAAGAAATCCCCTGACTTCTCTCTTTTCCTACCTGCTGGTCACCATAGCTTAAGAAGGAATGTTGATGTCCTTCAATTGTACAACTGCATCTGGTGGCCTTAAAAGTATTTTATTTAATCAAAATGAAACCTACTATATGCCTTTATCTGCATCTTCACCTCCCCATCTAAGGATAACAGTGACGATAAAACTGAAATCCCTCTAAGTTATTATACTTCAATTCATTTTTTTCTCAATGGTTTAGCAGTAACTTGGCATGAACAAAATTTGCTTTTATTTTAGGCATGAAAAATTGGTGATTTTTACCAAATTTACTGAAAGCCTGACATGCCACTAAAATACTTATAATGGATTTTTACAAATACCAGGAATATAAAAAGCAGATTAAATGTTTATCACCTGCTTCTCTTGCTGATTGTTGAAAAATTGCTTTGGATTCAAGTTCTCCTCTAAAATGTGAATAATCATAATATACACTGCACAGGATCATAGTAAAGATGAAATGAGAAAAAAAAAAAAAAACAGTTAAAAGCACTGCAGAAAGTGGGGTTTTATTTTCTGTTACCTTCAGCTCTCCCTGGATCTGGGTCTTCTTTAAAGCAGGGGTCCCTGAATCCTAGGCCATGGACAGGTACTGGTCCATGGCCTGCTGGAAACCAGGCCGCACGTCAAGAAATGAGTGGCAAGCCAGCAAAACTTCATCTCTATTTACAGCTGCTCCCCATTGCTCGTACTACCACCTGAGTTCTGCCTTCTGTCAGATCAGCTGCAGCATCAGATTCTCATAGGAGCATGCACCCTATTGTCAACTGTGCATGCGAGGGATCCAGGCTGTGTACTCCTTAGAAAAACTGACTGCCTGATAACCTGAGGCAGTGATGCTAGTGCTGTGTAGTGGCTGAAAATACATATTAACATTGTCAGAGAGGTTTGACTGTACAGAGACTAACATAAATCAATTGCTTGCAGACTCATATCAAATTAGTGAGTGGCAAGTAACAAGCTGCATCTGGTGGCAGGCTTTATAGTGGCAAGTGAGTCGATGTCCTTCAATTGTACAACTGCATCTGGTGGCCTTAAAAGTATGTCTGAGATAACTTCAAATCTCCTTATGTTCTGGATTAAAGTCAAGGTGGAATGTCCTGAGACTGCCATAAAAGCACTGAAAAGCCTGCTTCCATTTCCAACTTTCTATCATTGTGACAGTGCAGTGACAGCAACCCAAATGAGATTACAAAGTAGGCCGGACATAAGCAACACACTTTGGGTGTCACTATGTCCCATCACTCTCAGATGGAACCATCTAGTGGCAGCGAAACAAGCTCAGAGGTCCCACTGATTCTATGGCAAGTTGTATAATTATTTGATCTTATATTACAGCGTAATAATAATAGAAATAAAGTGCACAATAAATGCACTTGAATCATCTCAAAACTACCCCCAACCCAGGATCATGGAAAAATTGTCTTTTATAAAACTGGTCCCTAGTACCAAAAAGTTGGGGATCGTTGCTTTAAAGTAGCACCATCGTAATCACCACTGCCATTAACACCACCACTACCACTCTCACAGTGACCCTCATAATCACTGCCATCATCACCATATCGCTACCATCATCATCCTCCTCACCACTAATATTCTCTTTTCTCCAGGTCTTAAATTTCTTTGCCGTTAGGGCCTTCAAAATTTTATGGAGCAAAAAACCCTCTTGGAGGGAAATGAGAGATGAGATTTGGAGTCAGAAGAGCTATGTTGGAATGCTGGGTTTGCCATTGACTAACTGTAGGATCCTTCTGAGTTTCCGAGTTTTCTCATCTGTTAAACAGAAATACGGACCTACCTCTGTTGATTATTTTTCTTTGCCCCTCCAAAACCATTATCTGCCCTCTATTTGCCATCCTATTTCGTATCTTGTAAGGATGACTTTTACAGACCGAATCCCCTAGGGTCCCTTGTATGTGTATATGTTTGTAGGAATATTGATAGAGGGTTGGAAATATATATACCAAGCTTATGTTATCTGATTTAAGAAAACAGTCATGGTGGCCAGGCTCAGTGGCTCACACCTGTAAGCCCAGCATTTTGGGAGGCCAAGGCAGGCAGATCACCTGACATCAGGAGTTTGAGACCAGCCTTGCCAACATGGCAAAACTCTGTCTCTACTAAAAATATGAAAAAATCAGTTGGGCATACTGGCATGTGCTTGTAATCTCAGCTACTCAGGAGGCTGAGGCAGGAAGATCGCTTGGAGGCTGAGGCAGGAGGATCGCTTGAACCTAGGGGCGGAGGCTGCAGTGAGTGGAGACCATGCCGTTGCACTCCAGCCTAGGCAACAGCATGAGACTCTGTCTCAAAAAAGAAAAAAAGAAAGAAAAAGAAAGCAGCAGTGGTGATAATAGTAGAAAGGTAAGAAAAAAAGAGATGAGCAAAATGAAAAACAATTACATCTGAAAATACTATGCTGAGTAAAAGAATTGAACACAAAATCATAACTATGTCTGATATCATTTGTGTGAAATTCCAGAAAATGCAAACTAATCCATAGTGACAGAAAGCAGATCAGTGGTTGCCTGGGGCCAAAAATAAAATAAGAGATTAACTATACCATGGTAGGAGGGAACTTTCTGGGGTAATGAAAATATTTGGTATCTTGATTTTGGTAGTAGTTATGAGATGAATACGTTTGTAAAAACCACTTGTGCAATCATTTGTACTAGTTTATTAATATTATGTGTAAATTATACTCAATAAAACTTGGGCTAGGAGCAGTGGCTCACACCTGTAACCACGCACTTTGGGAGGCTGAAGTAAAAGGACTGCTTGAGTCCAGGAGTTCAATACCAGCCTGGGCAACACAGTGAGACCCTGTTTCTACAAAAAGTTTTAAAAATTAGTTGGGTATGGTGGCACACACCTGTAGTTCTAGCTTGCTTGTGGGGCTGGGGTGAGAGGATCGCTTGAGCCCCGGAGGTCAAGGCTGCAGTGAGCCATCATCATCATGCCCCTGCATTCCAGTCTGGGTAACAAGACCAAAAAAATTCATGGCATAATATAAATGGAAGAATATATAAAATACAATTCTAGTAGTAATATTATTGTAAATCTGTACAACTTAAATGTGCATAGAAGGACTAGAAGATATATGGACCAATGAATACATTAGCTTGGTACACAGGTGCCTGCTATTTTGTGAGCGACAAACAAAAAAAGAAAAGAGCTGGGGCCGGGCGTGGTGGCTCACGCCTGTAATCCCAGCACTTTGGGAGGCCGAGGCAGGTGAATCACGAGGTCAAGAGATCCAGACCATCCTGGTCAACATGGTGAAACCCCGTCTCTACTAAAAATA